TAACAGAAACTGGGAGAGTTCAGCATAAGGAAGGACATTATACTTTTTCTGCCCTTTCTTTAAGAATGCCCAACTAACTTCTGTCATAAATACAACTACTAGGTAAAAATGACCTTGATGTGTCCCAGAATAGCTGTTCTGTGTTCCTGATACCTTCTTCAACTGCCTTGGCAACTCTGCAGGGATGAAAATATTATGGTAAATTGAAGACAGCCATGGTGATTTTTGTTTTTTGTCTCTCTTTGCAGAAAACATATCTTAAATGAAGTCAGAAAGTCTTGTCTCATATTTCTACCCTGGCATGGATCTGAAGATTTTACATTTGCTTCAACTGTTCTTCACAGAATAAATGCTGTGAGGCTGTAGTGAAAAGACAGTTCTGAATATAGCTGGCTTTATTTACAGCTACCACTCTAGAGGCTTTTTCTCCCTAACTCTGTAATCCTGCACTGAGCAGCACTGATGCTTAATGTGCTTTGCTCTGCTCAGAAAGGTCATACTTTGAAGGGTGCAGAAAGCAGCAGCAGCTCAGGACGGACTTCACTGAGCCCCCAGCTCTAGCCTCTGGTAACTTGCTGTGCAATCAGGCAAACAGTGACAGATGCCACCCCACCATCAGGAGTGTGCTTACAGTCTAGACAGCCATAACCGAAATCCTGACAAGGGTCTTGGTTGTCTGGGTCTTGATGCCCTCTGGGAGAGAGAAGAAAGAGTACCTCCATCTGCTGTGAGGTGTCACAAAGGTGATGATGAGCCCATGGTCCAGCTACAGCTCCCTTCACTTCAAATTTTTTTAGTAATTTATCCTTCATCAGGGGAGTCACACGTACAGAGCTTCCTGAGCAAAACAGAGCCCAAGCTTCTGACTGCTGGTCAGTCCAGTTATAGGAGTGCTTCTGGGAAGAGTAATTTTGAAAAATCTGGCTAAGCATAATTTTTGAACCATGGAACCAAATGGTTTTCCTGTCATTAGAGGGAATTTCTTAGCATTTTGTAATTCAATTTGTAAGAAGTTCTCAGGTACACAACCCATTTCTTTGATCCAGACTTTCCAGCATCTGAAGTATACAATAAGATCAAGGATATTGTTAAAATGGCCAAAGTACAGGTAATACATGAGTGATAATGACTAATAGAAAATATATGTGATTATCTTGCAGCCTAACATGCCTGTCTCACACTTTTCCACTATACTTTTTAATTCTTTCTTATGTTCCCAAAGACTAGAATTACAGGGCAGGTGTGTGCACGGGCAGTACGGCTTATGCAATCAGAAAACATTAAAAATAGGACCACATTGCCTTCCTTGGCTACTAGAAGGCACAGAGACATAGTAGCATGGAGACCTCTGTGTCAGAACCTAGGACATCCCTCTGGATGCCCTGGATGGCTCAAGATCCTGGCAGGGGCTCGGAGACCCTGGCAGGAAGTCAAAGACACTTGGGAATTTGATCTCAACCCATGGAGCAAATTACCAACTTTATATGAAGAATTACAAGTCACAAAACTTTAAGCAGCATAACAGCAGTTGTCAGAGGGTGAAAGGTGAAATTTTAAAGAATTTTTTATGGTGGTCTAGGGGGACAAGATGGAGGAATCTGGGCGTTGTCCTGTCCTTCTTCCTTCTTCTTTGTAGCCTCCATCTTCTTGGTGATGGATTTACTCACTTTGGGATTGGTTTAGAATAGAAAGTCACTGTCTAACATAGATTATAGGTATTGGAAAATATCTGTAAATATTGAATACATAGTTTGTAGTATGAAAGACAACACCAGCCCCGAAGGCAGGGAGTGTGCCTTGGACTGACCGGCTGAACAGACCTCAGCAGGCCAGATATAAAATGTTTTAGATAAAAAATAATAAACAACCTTGAGAACGGGGCCAAAGACTCCTGATCAGTTCTTCGATGGCTGGGTTGGAGAAAAGAGACTTTCAACACACCTCAGGATCATCTCAACCACAGGGAACCCGAAACTCTGAAGTCAAGCAAATGCTGGTTACTGGCCTGGACAGAGAATTGTACTGATACAGCTCTATTACTCCAGGTATCTTGAGTAGCTTGGCTTTGCTTACACACTCCTTGGCTGTGCTCAGAGCTGTGACTGTATCCTGGGATATAATCAGTATTCACATAATGCAAAAGATCAGTAGCACTGGCACTGCCAGGGGAGAGCTACAAAAGCACACTGCACATCTGCCACTGCTTCTTAGTGATATATGACCACTGCATTGTGCAGATACCAGATCTGGATAGGAGTTTTATGGCTCCCAGTTGGACCAGGCTTCAGCTGTGCAGGGGATCAAGAGCGCTGACTCCTAGGTATCCTCTACCACTGTAGAAGGCTGCTTTGCACAGCCAGGACAAAGCAAGGAGGATTTATGAGCTGTAAGCGTGACCATAGAAGGCTTAATTTTCTCTTAGTGGCAGAAGAGAGGAGCCTTCATCACCCTTCATCATCCCTGCTCTGTAGCTGGACTCCCTGATATTGTGACATTTTAGGATACTTGCCTTGAAACAGCATCCAGAGCACATGATTAAATATCACCTCCTCCCTAAGCAAAGCTTATTCATGGAGTGACTTCCAGCAGGACATGGTTACTGTTTATGTGAGTATATAGACAACAGACCCAAGGACTGATGGACTCCTGTCCATCTGGGAATGGAGGCCCTCAAGTGAAAAGTTTCAGCAAGCTGACTCATGGTGTTCTGACATCCACGCTTGGGAAGAGTCATCACAGCTTACTTGTTTCTCCTTCTGCATAATCTTACTGGCAGGCCTTAAGATGCTCTAAGGAGCCTGAACATGACCTCTGTTTCTCACAGACTGATGACATTACTATTGAGAGAAAGTGTTTAGCAACACAGAGTCCATTTTGCTTGAACACACTGGACAGTGAGTGAAACATAAATGAGTACAAATCTTGGTTCAGTGACATCGAGCATCTGTGAAAAACACCATAGCTCTGATGAAGATGCCAGCTGCAAAGGCCTTCCTGTAGAGACTACAGAGAAATTAACCAGTAAGTTCATGATGCATATAACTAGAAATAATCTGAAATTAAAAATTAATTCAGTTTCATCAGTGGTTCCTTGAAAACATGCAATTAATTATTTACTACTTACAGATACATATTTATCTTTGAGTGTTCCAGAGGCCCAAATGACCTCTGGTACATAATTTCTAGATTAAAATATTTAAATCACCATCATAGGGGTTTTTTTTGTTGTTCCAGGAAAAACAAAAACAAAGGCTTGAAAAGTCAGAAATTGACCCTCATGCTTGTTTCCACTAAGCACAATGCAGAATAAAGAAGCACATGGGTGGGAAACAATTTAGCATCACTTCAAGTTGAGCCTTGACTTACAGCATTGTAGTGCCTTGACAATCCCAGCGACTAGCTATCTCTATATTTTTCATTCCAAGGAAGGTGGCAGAGTATGGTCAGAGATAAGAAACTTTGGGAGACTACTTTAAGTTTCTTAAAGGTTGTTTTATGGCCTGAAAGTGGAAGCTAAATGGTATTTCCGTTAAAGGTTGGGGTTTTTTTGTTAGGGTGGGGTTTTTTTATTTGTTTGTTGGCTGGTTGTTGTTGGGCTTTTTGTTTATTTGTTTGGTTGTTTTTTTAAATTCTTAGTATTGTAGCAATAGGCTACACCTTTCCACCTCCAGCAATAATCTGTGCACCTCTAGACCTTTCTGGCATTATTCTAAATCCTTTTCTTTTCTGACAGGACTTTTACATTCTGGCTTTAAAAGGCAACTATGGATTATGCATTCATTATATGTCTGAACACAGGATGAGCCCTTGTAAGTATTTGGACAAGGGACAGCCTTTGAAAGCTCAATATCCTATGGGAAATGCTATGGCTGATTCACCAGGTGCCAATATCCTGCCTGGTAATTCACTATTGGTACTCTTCCAATTAGCAGAAGGAGACATAACCGCTAATACTGCCAGCTGCTACCTGGAATGCCTTTCTTATCTGCTGTCTTTTTCTTTTCATTGTCTGCTTGTTTTCTTGTCTCTTTCAAGAGAGATTCTGCAAGAAGACGAGGATGTTATAACGCTTGATTAAGTGATGCAGTCACAAAAAGGGCAACTAGCATATAAACTAGAGATAAGGCAGGGAAAGAGCAAACAGAAGAAGGTAAGAGGTTTGGTGGGTAGGAAGCATTCCGGGTGTGAGGAGGCAGGTCTGAGCTAGTGGAGTGGCTGCTCTTTCTCCTGGAGGCTGGCTTGTTGGGGACATTAAGGTGTGCGTTCCTGCAAAGGCACAGACAGCTTAAGTCGTGACCTTCTGCACTTGCCAGCTATGAAGACAGGCACAGATCTCACAGCCACTTATGTGACCCCACCGGTTGCAGGGTACACCCAGCGCCGGCACTCACGCCGGTGCTCTGGCCTGGCTCCCTGCGTCCGGCCCGGTGCGGGAGCGCCCGCGGCTCCGCAGGGCGCTGCGGGACAGCGGGGCTGCGCTGCGGCAGCGCCGCCGGGAGCGGAGCGCCGGGCCGCAGGAACCTGCCCGCAGGCCCGGGCTGCGCTCAGCGGCGGCAGCAGCAGCCCCGGCCGGAGCTGCGGGGCCCGGGCGCAGGCGACCTGCCTGCCCGCCTCCCGCGGGGCTGCCGCTGCCGCCGCAGGGCCCGGCTCCGGCGGCGCCTCCTCCAACCCCAGCGCCGGCAGGGAGTCCCTGCGCTCCCGCGGGCAGGGCCAGGCCCGCCCCAGCCCCGCTGCGCCAGCGGGGCCTGCCCGGAGTGGGAGAGGAGGAGGAGGAGGAGGAGGAGGGACTCCGCAGCGGCAATTACTGACGTGTCCCCGCCATGGAGCTCGGCGTGATTCATCAGCGGCAGCGGGGCGGCAGCGGGGTGCCGCGCTCCGCTCCCGCCTAGGCACTGCCGCGGCGGGGACAGCCCGGCACGGCTCTGCCGCCCGCGCCGCCCTCCTCCTCCTCCCTCCTCCCTCCTCCCTCCTCTAGCAGGCCGCCTCTCCTCCTCCCCCGCGGCTAGGCGAATATCCCGGGGGAGGCAAGATGGAAGAAATCCTGCGAAAGCTGCAGAAGGAGGCGTCGGGGAGCAAGCACAGGGCCATCAAGGAGAGCTGCACCTGGGCCATCGGTAAGGCGGCGGGCGGAGCGGGGCAGGAGCCGCCGATGGAGCGGTTTTGTAACGCAGGGGGCAGGGAGACCTCAACAAACTTGTTCCGCGACAAGGAGAGCCTCCTTAGCGGAGCCTCCAGCGGCTGGGAAGAGAGCGGAGCACCTGGGCCGTTCAAAATGCCCGGGAGCTCCGCGCTGCTGGAAGGAGCCGTGGCACCTGCTGCCGGTCCCGGAGAGCATCCCCGCCCTCGCCTTCCCCACCGCCTGCATCTGCTTCGTGGCTCTTGCGAGGCAGATATATGGGTATCAGTAGCTGTCAGTTTCCGTGTATGTTTTGGAGCTGCTTTTTCTTTGAAGGCCCCCTCCCTCCTTTAAATCATGATAGAAAACATGCAGTACAGCTTTTACGGTGACTTATGTTCGGGAATCTATTTTAAAAGCTAGAAGTTTCGTTCTAATGGGTTACATGAGCTCTTTTATCCTTGTAGTATAATGATCAGTATAACGAGTTAATCTTTCAAGGGAGTACAATCTTAGATGCATTTTAGAATCCACCCATTTTCCGAGATTGTTTTGTCTTGAAGTGTTTTTTGACATTTACAACCTGGAGCACTTAATTTAAATCTGCATAACTGGGATGCTTTCAATTGCTTTACATTTTTGGTTTTTATCCATGCATAGCTACAACATTCTGTGGTAGATCAGACCTGTTGCTGTCTTATTACTGGCCTTTCATCTTGATGTTGCATGAGTTGCTTCATTAATTGCATGTGAGTCTTGCGCAGCAGCCATGCAAGTATCCTCTACACTGTTCCAGTTTTAGTGGATGTGCTGCTGAAGTGCTGATAAGTGAAAGGGAAAAGATGGTACTCAGTGCCTTCTCATTGGGCATGCAACGTCCTGGCAGATTTATGCAGAGCTTTGGCAACTCAGAGCAGCAGTGGTTGTTGTTCTGTCAGGTGGAGTAGTTGTAAAATTTTGGATCATTGGCTCGGAGACTGTAGCCAAATGTATTAACTGTGGTTGAACTCAGAAGTTTCTTTTAAAAGCCCTGTTGTTTCCTTTAATTGTACAGAAACCTTGGATTCTCCTGATGCTGCTCTCAAGATACCACCATATCAGCTGAGGTAAGAACATTGAAGTTGAGTTCTGTAGAGCTTGTGGGTAAAATTGAATTACAATTTACAATTTGTAAAATTGAAGGAAAAATTTTTAATTAAAAGTGAGGTAGTGGAGTGGTCTGCATCTATGTGATTTCTGTAGTTTGTAGATATACATATCTAGGCTGGTAGTAGTGGATAATTTTCTGATGAGCCCTTGGCCTTTGGCCCTGAATGAAATGTAAGGAAATGTATTAAAATGGGCATGAGTACGTATAGTGGTGACATTGGTTAGAAAGGAGGGCTCTCTTATGGGCTAAAGAATTTCCCTGCTAAATTCCATCTTTCACTAATAAGCAATGATGTTTCTTAGTTCTTCTCAGTGTGCTTGTGTTCTTTTAAGTCTAAGTCATGTTTTGTTACTGAAAATAAATATTCCAGAAACTAAAAAGTTATATCATCATATAGCTAGGACACTGACTAGGAACTAAAATAATACAGTTTCTATGCCTACATCTTCCTTTAGCCTGCTAGATTATCTTGAGTGAGCCTTCTTCCCACCTCCATTTGTACACATATAAAATGGGAGAGGTGGCATGGTCCTGATTTGTCTAGCTATTTAAAATCTCATTTTGGAAATTGTCCTTGTTATGGAGTAGGTAAATAGGCAAAATTATCCACTGTCCTTTTTGACAGAACCATTAAGAGTCATCAAAAGAAACTAGCAAGTGCACTGTTTAAAACAAAAGCACGTTCTTTCATGCAGCTTAATAGTTAAGATGTGAAATGGTTAGGCTTGCCTTATTAGAGAATGTAATGGATGCTGAAAGATTGCATGCATGCAAAAACCACCTCAACAAATCCATGGAAGACATTGATTGAAATCCATCAGTTGCACAGGTACCGTTCTTATTCAGAAGTACCTTAATCAGAGGTGATCGAGTTTATAAAGCAGGATGTAGGAATGCTGCTGTATGTTTGGCCTGTCCTGTGATCCTCTCAGGTATCCACTGTGAGCTGCTGACAGCGAGGAACATATTTTTTGCTTCAGTATTACTCTCCTGGGAGTGTTTTTATCACCTCAAGATTCCCTGATGCTTCTCTCATATATGCTTTGCAAGGAAAGTTAGGGATTGAAGAGCTAGTTATTCCAGAGCAGTCACCATATGGGGAAAGAATAGGAGCAGTTCTTTTGCCACTCTAAATTCCTGTCAGCTGCAGTCCACAAGGGGCCTCAGATCAAATGGGGGATGATGTAGCACAGGTCTGACATGACCAGTGCCAGACACAATGCATTTCCAGCACAGAATGGAAACAGCTGGATGACTAATTCTCAATAGGTCCACAAGAATTATGTTTACTTGTCACTGTGGCTGGAGAAAACTTGGCTCTTCACCTTCACATGTATCAGCCTCTAATATGGTGTGTGGTCTGTGCCTTTAAGTGCTATTGTCATTCCCTATGAATTAGTTAGCTGGCTGTTACCACATGTAACATTACTTTTCCCCTTGCCTACTACCTCTTTACAGGGAGGCCTTTTTCTCTTCTTCCTCCAGTGTTCTTAATGATGTATTTTAGTTAGGGTGTTTTTTCCACTGTAAATCCCACTTTTTTTAAATAAAGTGAATACCTTTGCAGGTGTAGCTATGATTAAATAAGCTCTTAATGTTAGACTTGTCAGTAGCAATGCACATTATTACTGGATGTTTTGGAAAATGAAAGGTGCACAAGAGGATTTGGACAAAAGCTTTTGTTGTGGGGTCCTTGGTAAGGCTCAGCCACAGAGCCTTAGATAGTGTGGGCAATGTTGCTAAACATACCCTTCACTCTCTGATAACAAGCTACTGCCAGGCTCCAGATCAGCAAACTGGACCATATCTTGGGCTGGAGTTTGCCTGCATGATGTGCAAATTAGATAAAAGTTCTTCGCTTGGTATTTGTTAAAAAGCAGCACCATGATGGCTTGGTTCCTAATGCTGGAAAAGAATAGCCTGGAAAGTAGAGCAATGGCTGTGACCAGAAACACAGCCAAGATACAGGATGGAGATGTCCTGGCCGTGCCTCTTTTCTGCTTTCAGTCTTACATCACATGCAGGTTGTATCAGCTGCTGTAACACAGATCAGCCTCTGGCTGCTTATCCAGTTGGAATCTTAATCTACACTTCACACTTAGGTTCTTTTCTTTCTAGAATTGAAGAATGAAGGCTGCTCACAAGAATGAGAATATGTAAACTCTATACTCACTTCTTTCTTACTTATAAAATAAAAAGCCATTTTCTGCTTCTGACACCCCAGTTCTAGATGAGTAGAGGTTCTTCGTAAAGTTGTCTTTTGTAAAATTGTGGTCCTAGTGTGATAATGGGGAAGACAAAGTGTTTCTGCTTTTCCTCAGACTATGAGCTTTTGAGTTCAAGAGGTTTTTGACACGTATTATATCAGCTACATACTTACCTCCCAATACTGTCTACTGCATTCTGTCTTGTTCCTGATCTATCCATAGTTTCATCTTGGACTTGTGTTTCTGAACATGAGGCAGACCGCATTAGAGTTCCCTGATGTCTGTGCAATTAACTGGGGACATCAGCTGTAGCATTGGCATGGGAGCTGTTTCCAGCAGTTACCTGCTAGCAGATTAGATAGCGCATGCCTGCTATGTTTGGGAGCACCTTTTGCCCCAAGGGAGTCCCAGTGACTGACCATCCAGACTGGAATGTAATTCTTTAATTAGTTTGATAGAGGTCTGTTTGGTATATCTTCAGGGAGCTAGATGAGACTATTTTGCTGTTCAACTTCCTTTGATGTTAGTTGGACTTATGAATCAAAATCCCCGTTAATGACCTTGCATATTGATTCTAGTGAGGGTCATCATTTAAATGTCTCTCTTCCTAAAGAAATACAAATCTCCAACAAACACAGAGTTTCCCACAAAGTCTTGTCAGCTCTGCCTTGAGATAGGAATATGTGTGTGATTTTTCAGTACTTTTAACTTATGATCAGAGTATTGGGCAAGGGTGTGAGATAGTAACAAAGATTAAAGTGCATCAAGATGGAAATGGCATTAAGTCAGTTCAAGGCATTGCTGTAGATGTTCCATGAATTCTTGAGAAGGGAGAATCACATAACCCATTGGTAACTGGCCTCTTGTGATCTGTCTAGTATGACAGTATTTGTCGCTGAACATGAGTTGTGAAAATTGGATATATACTAAGTGCTTAAGGAGGCTGGGTGGCTGACTTATAAATAATGAATTAGATAAGAGAAATTGATGTGCTTGTGTTTTAATTGGTGAATTGATCACTTGGAAAATAGCTTAAGAAACCTTAATGTTGTCTGCCAGCAAACAGTTGTTTGCTACTCAGCTGGGCTATATTCACTTCAGCATTTTCAGGATGGCAAATTCTCCCCTAAGGCCAACACTATACACTGAACAAGGCTCTCTTCTTGGCTTGTTGTGATTTTAGAGGCTGAAATATGCGCTATAAAAGGTAACTGAACAGACACAAGAAAATGAGCTTTGAAAAAAAATGTTTGATTGGAGCAGTTTAATACTCATGAGGATTATCTGCATATCAGAGGATAAAATAAGAGGCTAGACAGCAGTTGTCAGTGACATACTGCTTTGAAAAAACTTGGGATTGCCAGAGTTTCTTGGAATGCGTTATGTCGTTAAGTCATGCCTTGTAGGCTATGTAAAACTTGATGACTTGCTATCAGCACAGACTTTGCTGGAAAGAAGAGATTGGTTGGGACTTCTGAAGGGGCATTTCTTTTTGGAAGAAATGCAAATTGGGTTTGCATGGCCAGGTTTTGGTAGCAGGAGGGGCTACAGTGGTGGCTTCTGTGAGAAGCTGCCAGAAGCTTCCCCCGTGTCCAGCAGAGCCAATGCCAGCTGGCTTCCAGACAGAAGTGCCCCTGGCCAAATCTGGGCCAGTCAGAAATGGTGGCAGCCCCTCTGTGATAACAAATTTAAGAAGAGAAAAAAAGGTTTTGCAGATGTAATGGCTTCCAGAGAAGAGTGGGGTGAGAATATGTGAGAGGAACAACTCTGAAGACACCAAGATCAGTGAAGAAGGACAAGGAGGAGGTGTTCCAGGTGCCTGAGTTCAGATTCCCCTGAAACCCATAGTGCAGACTGTGGAGAATCACCTATGCCCCTGTGACTCATGGAGGTCCATGAGGGCACAGAGATCCACCTGCAGGCTGTGGAGGACACTCATACTGGAGCAGGTGGATGCCTGAGAGGAGGCTGTGAGCCTGTGAGAGGCTTGTGCTGGAGCAGGTTCCTGGCAGGTGTCTGTGGAGCAGAGGAGCAGGTTTCCTAGTAGGACTTGCATGCTTGTGGAGGACCCACGTTGAAGCAGGATGTGACTCCCTTCCCTAAGCCGCGGCAGGAACAATGTGTGATGAACTGACCATAACCCACATTCCCTGCTTCCCTGTGTCTCTGGGTGGGAGGAGGGAGGAGTGGGGGGGAAGGTGTTTAGGTCTTATTTTACTTCTCATTACCCTGCTCTGGTTTTGGTAATAAGAAATTCAATTAGTATCTCTAATTTGAGTCAGTTTTGCCTGTAGCAGTATCTGGAGAGTGATCTCTCTCTGTCCATATCTCAAACCATGAACCCTTCATTATATCTTCTCTCTCCTGTCCAGCTGGGGAGGAGAGTGACAGAGTGGCTTTGGTGGGAGCCTGTCATCCAGTCAGGGTCAACCCGGTAAAATCCCTCTTATATTTTTCATTGGCCTTTTAAAAGTGATCAGTATTTCTGGAGATTATAGCTGGAAAGTCAGAAGTCAGTGAGGAGCAGGGTCATGTCTAATAACCAGTTCATGTCCGATTCTGTCTCTCCCTGCTTGTGTCCCAGTGCTAATCATGTTGGTGCTAGCTTTTGAGGGCAGTTTGTGAACTTTTTCTATAGTCATGGACATGTGGGGAGGAGGACATTTGGGGATGAAAGTGGTAGTTCTGCTCCTTTTTTTTTTTTTTTTTTTTTTTCACAAAGAGGAAGTGGTCAGTATCTCTAGATGAG